AAGGCCGAGAGCCGCCGGCTGTGTTCGAAGGGAAAGGGTTAAAAGGCCAAAGCGGGGCGGACAGATTCTGTGTGCGGAGCAAAGCAGGGCAGGTTCGGTGCTATTGCGGCAGTACGATGGCAGCGCTGAGGGAAGAGGACCCGGGGAGGTTGGAGGGGAGCAGTGGGAGCCCCGTGTGTTGCGGTGCCACATTTGGGGCACGGCCGGGTGGACAGGAGGTGAGGCGAGTGGCAGCGTAGCCTCCAGCCATAAGGGAGAGGGGAGATCGAGGGGAAATCCTCGGCGTCGCTCCGCGCTCCCTCACTCCGCAGCGCTGCGGAAGGTGCGGGTCGAAAACCCCCGCGTCCCCCGCTGTAGATCCCGAGGACTGCGGCCGTCGAGGCACCGCCTGCGGGCAGGCACCGATATCTCATTCGAACGAGCAGCAAAAATCCGCCGCGGTCTGTAATTCGCTACCCGAAATCTACCTTCCCTCCCCCACCCCTCCCAGTTATTTAATAGAAAATGTATTTTTAACCGCCCGCTCGGATAGCATCTCGCCAATATTTATATTTCCACGTTGCCTGGCATCCACTGTCCCACATTAGGCTCTCCCTCTCTCTCCCTCTCTTTAATCCTGCCACTTTAAATAGATGAATTAATAAAGCAAATGAGGGTCTAATAAGCTGCCTGTCCTGCCTATTGAGGCAGGGGGAGAGAGACTCGAAAGTGCGCCAAATTTGTTTGCAGTGGATCAAGGCTAGCCGCCTTTGCTTCACTTTCTTTATCTTAATTCCGACTTGAAAAGATATAATTATCTAGTTTGAACAGAGCTGCTATCAAATCCTTCTCTAGGCAAGGCAGGGGAGAGCTGGAGTGGATTGCAGTGTTCTGAGCCGCTTGGTGCAGCCGGAGATAGGGAGTAATGAAGTTGTGGAGTCCTGAGATACAAAGGGCATTAACCTCATTAGCATGAAACCTTTTCTTCTAACCATTGTGGGACCCTTTCAGACTCCTAATCCCCCCTATTTTCAAAGCTCGGTTTGTAATAAAGCTTTTAGGGTTTTTTTTCAAAGCTAATGGCATTCTCTGAAGATTTTATTGCTGTTACGCTACATAGGACGCTTAATTTTTTTTCCCCCTCTCTTTCCTCACGGTTCAAAAAAAAAAAAAAAAAAAAAAAAAAAAAAAAAAAGGGGGGGGGGGGAGGCGGGTGTTGGGTGAAAGGGGGGGCGGGGGAAAAAATATAGGGCTCCCGCAGAAATAAGCCTTTTATCAAGATGGGAAACAATCTTCCGAAAGGCCCCAGCCCGCTGTTCGGCCGCAGAACGTCCGCGTGGGTTTGGGGAGAGCGCGAGGAGTTCAGGTGGAGGCGCGCAGCGGTGCGCGCAGGGCTCCGCCTCGGGGGTGGCACTGCGGGGCCAGGAGGGCGGCTCGGGACAGAGGGACCGCATTGCGACACGCCTGGGCCTCCGCCGAACCGCAAAGTCACCGGCATCCCATAAGGCCGCCAAAATAAAATCGAATCAGATATTTATATATATATATATATATAAATAATAATAATTTACACTGCACCCGGCGGAGCCGCCACCACGTGCGCGGAATGCCTAATCTCAACTTTTTCAAGGCAGGGCGTTGAACAAAGCTCGTATTTTCGCGATGCATTGTAACTTCGCCTTATCACAGTGTAAAGGGTAGTCAGATTGTCCTAAATTATGTCCAACCAGCCCCCCTGGATCCACGGATTAAGAGATTAAAGGAGACCACTGGGCAATGCCTCCTCTTTCCCCTTCATATTCCTGGTATGATAATTGCCTAAACTGATTTGCACTTTCACAAAAGCTCGCAGGATTCTTTGTAGCTCGAACAGAGCAGACGAGGTTTCTCTATCAATGGAAATAAAACTGATTAATGCAGTCTGTCAGGCTAAGGAGCAAATGAAGCATGAAAAAACAACTGTGTACCCCCAGAAAACCGGCTCGTTTCCTCAAGGACCCCGAGCAACTTTTTTTTTTTTTTTTCTTTTAAAGTTTCAGAGTTGTTTTTACAGCAGAGTTTTGCGCAGCGCCCGGGATCACGCAAAAAAAAATAATAATAATAATAAAAAAAAAAAAAAGGAGAAAAAAAAAAGGAAGGGGGGTGGGAGGAGAGGGAGGTGAAGGGAGGTGGGTGAGAGGAAAAACATTAAAAATAATAATATAAAAATCACCGCCGCACACTCAAATCCGTAGTTCTGCCAAGGAAGCTTTGCATTCTGCCGAGCGCGCAGCGACCCGCGCAAGCCTCCCATCGGGTTGCGCCCGGGGAAGGGGCTGGATTTGGTTTTATGTCCTTTTTTTTTTTTTTTTTTTTTTTTTTTCTCGAGGTATTTATTTACAGCCAGCAGCGCTGTGCGGCTCGTTTGGAGGTGGCTGTTTCCAAACGATTGGGTTCGTGAAGGAAATGCGCGCACGGCCGCAGGAATGCGCTGCGCGGGCACCGGAGCGCGGATCTGAGCGCAGGGGGAAAAGCGAAAGGTGTGAGGAGGGGGGAGGGGGGGGAAATACATGGCTTGAAGTTTTAGGGCATATTGATAAATCTTTATTGACAAAATATTGACAATGACATACTTCTTGGAAGTATATAGCGTGTTAGAATTCTAACAAATTAAACACAAAACACAAAAATATTTACATTCTGGTATAGAAGACATGAAGGAAACATTTGTCACTTTTTTTTTTTTTTTTTTTTTTTTTAGTAGCTCTATGATCTCGGAATATTATAAGGTCAGTGCTTGAAAATTGCCCCAATGAAAATGGCCATTAGGAGAAAAAATAAAAACAAAACCAAATCAAACAAAAAAAAAAAAACAAAACAAAAAAAAAAACAAAAAAAAAACCCTCAGTACGCGACTTTCAGTCCTTTATCTCCGGATTCTCCCCACCGCCAAACCTGGTCGCCGGGTTTGCGCGTTATTTGCGTTAAAATATGATCAGCATTCGGTTTCGCAGTGGGGACAGAGTGGGGGGGGGAAGGGGGGGGGGGGGGAGGGGGAATCATTTGATTTTTTTCTTTTTTTTTTTTTTTGGCAGCAAATTTCCGACCATTCTCGGCCCCCCCCGCCCGCCCCCCGCCCCCCCCGTCCGTCCGTCGGGGAACACTACGCCCGGGTACCGCTACTCCATTCACCTTCACGAACACTTTGACGCCAGAAGTTATCATAAAATGTTTACAGACTGCACATTTCTCGTAAAATAAAATTAAAAAGCACACAGAACCTGTCTTAGAGGGAAAAAAAAATTACCATTCATTTATGTCTTTAGGAACCGGGGTAATTTTTTTTCCCCTTTTTTTTTTTTTCCTTTTTTTTTTTTTTTGTTTTGTTTTGTTTTGTTTTGTTTTGTTTTGTTTTTCTTTTTCTGCCCAGACGGCTTTACACATGCAATTCAAGTTTCTGAAACAGGTGTGGGTTTTGGCTGCTTACGGAAATGTTACTTTTTAAGACGGAAAAACAAAAACAAAAGCAAAAACAAAAAAACCCTGTGAAGTGCAAAACGTCCCGTAAGGTGGTAAGATTTCTTTGTTTTTTTTTTTTTTTTTTTTTTAAGATTTTTTTTTTTTAAGATTTTTTTTTTTTTTCTTTTTTTTTGGATTTTTTTTTTTTTTTTTTTTTTTTTTTTTTTTTTGACTTTATGTTTTTTAAAAGTGGACTGCGAGAAACGGAATACCTGTCAGTCAGTCAGTCAGTCAGTCAGTCAGTCCCTCGTCCCGGCGCTGGGCTCTGCCCGGCAGATCCCCGTGCCAGGGCCGTGCCGGCAGCGCCGCGCTCCGCACCTCGCGCTCTGCCCCCGCCGCTCGCCGCCGCCCTCCAGACGGGAATCGCGTTTGGATGAAGCTCTCCGTGTCCCTTCCCCGCACCTCCACGCCGGGGTGCGGGAGCCTTTAACACTTTCTTTCGATGCGTTGGCTGGCTTGAAATGTCTCAAAGTGCCAGTTTTTTAATCGTCCGACGTGACGTCGATTTCTTCTGGACTGGCTTGTTTGGTGGCGATTCTCCACCGGTTAATGTGATGAGTCCCTTTTTTCTTCTGTTGTGAGTCCGAACCTTCCTCTTCCAACTTTTGCCGCTTGAACTTCGTCCTTCTGTTCTGAAACCATACTTTTACCTGTGGGGGTAAGACACGGGGCGTCACTACACAGTCCTGCACGGGTACTGCAGAAGGGACGGGCACCTGCGGGGCCTGCGGCCGGCCCCGAGCCTACAGGAACACCTATGGGGACATCCGTAGAGGCACCGACAGGGACATCCAGAAGGGCATCTGTAGGAATATCCATAGGGACACTCACAGGGACATCCATGGGGCGATCATAGGGACACCGCTACAGGGAGAACCCGTAGGGACATTTATAGGGACACCCGTAGGGGACATCTATGGGGACGCTTATAGGGTCATCCATACCGACACATACTGTGCCATCTATTGGGACATTTATAGGGACATCTAGACTGACACCTACAGGGACGCCCATAGGGTCATTCACACCGACATCTACAGGGATATCTATAGGGACACGCATAGGGACACCTACAGGGACCCCCACGGGGACATCTATATCGACACCGACCGGGAAACCCATAGGACACTTACAGAGACTCCTATAGGGACGCCTATAGGGAGCCGTGCCGCTACGTGTACCCCTCTGCTTGTGCCCGATCAGCCGCGCAGGACGGCCGTGGGCGCGCAGCACAGAGCCGGGACGCAGTGGGAACACCCGGTGCAGTTGCGCGGAATTTGAGCGCACGCCCAGGACCCGCGCAGGACCCGCGCATTGCTGGTTTCAGCCATCCGGGCTGCTCTCGGGACCGGAACCGCCGAAGTGTCCCGGAGCATTTGGGAGGGGATCCCGGGGCTGCTTCGGCTCGGCACGGTTCGGCTCCGTATGGCACTACAAGGCACGGTACAGCTCGGAACGGTTCGGCACGGCCGCACCGGGACCGATGGGCACGTAGAAAACGAGTGCCTCGGCCCTAACGGGATTGCGAACGAGAGATCTTTTCCTTTTGGAAAAGCGATTAAAACGAAAGAAACAAACCAATCAAAAAGTGCCTAAATTAAAAACGTCCGGCGCTGCCCCGAGCGTCTCCTCGGGATGTGCCGTCCAAGAGAGATCGCATTAGGGACAGAGCTGGAAGTGCGGCCATAAATACCCCTCCGGATTTGTTCAGCGCCGAATAAATCTGACTTAACCATCCGGCAGCTGACTCCGGCGCTTTAATTACAGATAGTATTGATCTGGAGCTATCTCTAGGGCTGGCCACACTCCTCGTAGCGGCCAAAGGTAAACAATTTTTTTTTTTTTTTTTTTTTTAAAGCAGTTTAAACTCTGGTTCTGTCTGAAAGTGCCTGATAAAGGCCCCAGCGAGGGGGGGAAAGGGAACGGGAGCATTTTAATAAGCTGGTTTAACCCGCTTCGCTGCCTCTTCAGAACAGAGCGCTGCCTGGCCGGACACACATCTCTACTGCATTTTCATATTCTCCAAAAGTCCCCCATCAAAAAGCTGAGCGGGGAACAAGGGGTGAGTTTAATTTGCTTTTAGTTTGCTAATTGAAGGGGAGGACGGTTCATTTCTGCACGCTGATCTCCCAAAAGGGAGCTCATTTGTAGGGGACTGGGGGTTTGACATCCGGACAAAAGACCCCGACCAGCTTCGGAATCAAGCAGCACAAAGACCACCTTAAATACAGCTTTCCACTGGAAATAAGCCCGTGACCGGTCCCTTGTTCGGAGAACCTCATAAAAGTGGCGATCCCTTTTTATTGTTTTGTTAGGGAGACATTTTAAAACAAAAGCTCCAACCTCTTTATTGCTTCCCCCACGAAAAGGAGTTAAAAAAAAAAAAAAAGAAAGAAAGAAAGAAAGAAAGAGAGAAAGGAAAAAAAAAAAAAAAAGAAAGAAAAAAAAAAAAAAAAAAGAAAGAAAGAAAAAGAAAGAAAAAGAAAAAGAAAGAAAGGGAAAAAAAAGTGTTACAACTTAATCCGCCCAGAGAACGCTCTGTTTACTGGGAACTTTGAACTAGGCTGCGGCTGTATGGTTTGTTTTGTCGGTTTTTTTTTAAAGTACAGTGCCACATACTGTATGGCAAAGACAATCCCCATCTGGAACACTCTCCCTACGACACCGTCGGAAAGGCGCAAAACAAAAGCCCGACACCACAGCAACACCACCAGCACCATCACCTTCACGGCCGGGCGCTGTGCCGGAGGGCGGAACCCCGCACGGAGTCGCACCGTCGGGATGCGGAGCTCCGCGGAGCCGCGTCTCGGTGCGCTCCGAACACCGCGGCCGAACCAGGAACACCGCGCCGGGGAGCGGAACGGGCTACGATGTGGTTCTGGACCGCAGCCAGCAACGGGGGGAGGAGGGAGAAAAGGGGATTCCTCGCCATTAATAATTTCTCTGCCTTTATTTTGAAGTTTCGTGCCCTCCCGATCCGGTCCGTCTTTTCGCCGCTGTGACGGACACAGGGTTGGGAATGAGTGAACCACCCAACCTCCACACACACACACGCTCCCTTTCTGCCCTCATATCCAAACTTGGGGTTGTTTTTTATTTTTTTTCTTCCTCTCCGCTATTGGTTTCCTGGGCTTTGCCCCTTGCACGCGAATATTCCTGCGGGTCACGCCAACCGCGCAGAAACAAACCAAACCAAATCAAACCAAACCAGGAGAGGGTTTATAACACTGGGGCAGAGAAACGCCTCGCCTCCCCCCTCTCGGAGCCGCTCAGCAGGGCACGAACACTGGGAACCCACCCGGGTCTGGACCGAGGGCCGTTCCGAGGTGCCCCACGGTGCCTTCCTCCATCCCGGCCGCAGCCATCTCCTCCCCCCCCTTACCTGAGTTTCCGTGAGGCTGAGGCTGTGTGCCAGCTGCTTTCTCTCCGCTCCCACCACATAATGGTTCTTCTCAAAGGCATGTTCCAGTCTCAGTAATTGGGACGGGGAGAAAGCTGTACGGATCCGTTTGGGTTTCCTGGCCAGGGCGTTGTGCAGAAGGAAGCTCTCCGGACTGGTCTCGTTCCCTGGGCAGCGGGACAGAGGTTAGCAGGGAGAACCCGAGAGGAGTTCTTAGCGCGAGAATTATTCTTTCCACCATTACTGCCTCAAAGCTCTCCCTGCCCTTTCTCTCTCCTTCTGTTTTATTTTGGTTTTCAGAAGGAGACTTTAAAAAATATAATTTCGATAAGTGTATGGAAAGAGTACTTAGGGGAAGGAGAGAAATGGGAGAAAATAGAATGGTATACGCAACCCGGAGAGCACTAATAATAATAATCATAACAATAATAATAATAAAGGAGAAGGATCGGCCAGAGCCGATCTGTGGAGTGAGAGGCCCCGTCCCGCAGCGCCCTTCTCCCCTCACATCGCTCCGTGTTTCTATACGGATTTCTTTCCTTCCGCCGGCACAGAGGTTCCGTGCGGCCGCGGCCGATCCTCACCGCCCCGCTCCGCTCCGCCGCTCCCGGTGCCGGCATTGGGCCTCCCCGCCGCCCGCCCCGCTCCCCCTCGCTGCCTCCTGGTGGGTTCCCGGTAGCCCCCGGTGCCCGGTCCGACAGGGACAGAAACTTCGAGAAACAAGCGGCGGAGTCGGCCTGCTGCTGCTTGGCCGGAGTTCGGCTTGCGGATTTCTCACCCCCCTCCCCACATTCCCCCGGTTCAGTCTCCGCCGCAGCTCGGATCGTTCCCTACGAGGCGAGGAAGGCACCGAGAGTCCCTCTCCGTAAACGCATTAGGAATCGTTGCGGGAGGAGGGTGTGCTGGGAGCAGGCTGGGGCTCAACACCGGCGCGTTTCCGCCTTTCATCCGCAGCTCTGTACCAATCGCGGGATGATTGCGACAAACAATCCGGTGAGAGAAACCCCTCATTTCGTTGCGGGAGGCGATGGCCGTTCTCCACCAGAGTGGAGCCGCTCCGCTCCCCCCGGTGCCACGTTCGGGGCAGCCGGGAAAGGAGACCCGCAGGTGAGTGGATTTCGTTAGGGAATAATAAGGGAAAATATCGAGGAAAAATATAATAGGAAAAATATAAAAATATGGATCTAGATGGGGTCCAACGAACGGAGGAGGCTGATTTTTTTATTATTTTTTTTTAGATTTGTTTTACGAAACTTAAAAGCAGAACCGGACCCACTGCGGGAGAAACCGGCTCACCCCTGGCAGAAGACTTTGCCATTAGCAAAGGGTTAAAGCGGGGGGGGGGGAGGGGGGGTTATTCATCTTGCGCCATAGATTTGGTTCTTTCCCCGCTGAGGTTGTTCTCCACCGGGTAGCTCCGGTCTCCTCCCGCTGCGCGGCTCTCCGCAGCCCCATCTCCTCGGGGCGCCCCTGCGCCGGCCTTTGAGTTTCCCTTCTCTCTTTGGGCCAGGGCCGGGCTACGGCGGGGACCCTCACCCCTCCAGCCCTCTCCTCTGCCTCTCTTCCCCCGTACGTTTGCATTAAAACATCCGTCCTGGGTTTAACCCTCGCTTCTTTCGGGGATAAACAAACCCTGCCGAAGTCAAACTCGGCCGTGCCGCCCTTTTCGAAGGGAAAACGAACCGAAGCAGGAGCAGAACCGGAAAGAAGGTAGCCGGGACCCCTCTTTCGGACTGATCCGCGAGGCCAGAATCGGGTGGGAGAGAAGCAAAGACGGAGCCCAGCGCAGCCCCACCGCCCACCGCCCTCCCCAAGCGTAGGGGAACGAGGCAAAGTTTCACGTACCTTGGAACCTGTGGCCCAGATACCGGTAGCGATGTATTAGCCACGGGTAGAAGGTGGAGGGATCCCTTTGCTGCGAAGCGAAGAGCGGGTGCGTGGAGTGCGAGGCTGGCAGCGGATGGGCGGCCAGGGCGTGGGGAGGGGGCACGGGGTGCACGGGCACGGCAGGGTTCGGCGGGTGGGAGACGGCCTCCGCAAAGACCAAGTCCGGGTTGGAGTAGACCCCCCTGCCGGTGGAGTGGAAGCCGTTGAGAAAAGGGTTCATCGGGCTGGAATTGGCATAGCTGAGAGCCGCCGGGCGGATGGGATCCTCGGAGCGAGACGCGGGCAAGGGGCTGTCTTTGGCCACCAGCGACTCGATGGTGAAACAGCGCTTGGGCGCGGGCTGAAACATGGTGCGGCGGCGGCGGGCGTCCCCCGGCAAATCTGTGCGTGGCTCTGCGGTGCGCGGGAGGAGGCGATCCGGGGAAGTTTGCAGCGGGGAGTGACTTGAGGAGGGATAGATACACACATAAATAGACGGGGGCCGGAGGGAAGGAGGCAGCGGCAGCCGGCGGTACCCAAAAGGGAGACACGCGCGCGGCGCGCACACACACACACACGCGGAAAGTTGCTGGGAGAAGTTTCCCTCCTGCGAGGAAAAGGCGGTCGCCCCCCCCCCCCCCCTCCACCCCCCTCCCTCCCTAAGTCCAAAGACAATCCATGGATGTGATCGGCCCCTTCACGAGTTGTGCAAACGATTTGTTAGTTCATGAGCCTAATTAGTGCTGGGATCACATAAACAGCTTCCTCTGAAGCCTGGTAAATGGCTTGATGATTGGTCGCTATTACTCGCCTGGAGGTTGAAGGGGGAGACTCTTTAAAGTGCGTCAGAGGGGAGGCGAAGCGCCGGGCAGCGCCATCGGGAGGGATGGAGCCGCGGATCGGAGTGCGCCGGGCGGGGGGAGCGCGCACATCCGCGCAGCCGCGCCCCGGGCCGCCCCCGCGTAGCGCCGGCAGCCGCCGACAGAGGTAGGGGACGGAACGGGACGGGGGAACGGGGGGGGCAGAGTGAGCTCTGCATCTCTGCTGTGTGGAGCTCGGGGTGGGGTGGGACACGCAGCCCGAATCCCTCTCCCCGCCGTATCGCCGGGGTTCGCGGCCCATCGGGGTTACCTGGGTGTAACGCGGAGCCCCGCGGTCCCGACTCGGTGCCCCTCTCTCGCTTCGCTCCAGATCGGGCCGCGCTTTACTTCCCAACTTCTCTACGTGTCCTTCCGCTGCCGCGCAGCGCCCGCACCGCGCGGGGCCGCAGACAAAGCGAAGAGCGGCCGCATCCCGCGGGGCCGGGGCGCTCCGGGCGGGACGGGGGAGCGATCCCCGGCTCCAGCCCTGTCCGGATTTTCGCGATTACCTTTGGGTCCGGGGCTGATTTTAGGGCTGAGTTCTCCTCCTCCCATTGGCTGGGGCCGCGGAATAATTATGATCACATCCTAATACTCTTGGCTGGTGCTTACTGTTTATTGGTAGTTAAGGATCTATTATCTATTCATCAGCCTCCCATTTTTGCCAATTACATTCTTCTAAAGTGAAGTACCAGCAGGTATTTTGCACATTGACAATTAATGATAAAAAATCTGGCGTGCTTTAAATCTATTACGCCGAAGCGTAATTTATCTGAAAGATGCAGAATTGCGGATGTAAACGAATGGTGCTGCGGGAACGAGGGAGGGGGGAGCTGCACCCAGCCCCGGCTCCTTCCCCTCATTCCTACACTTTGTTTTCTATTTCCTCCCCGCTTCGTACACAAAGAATCCGTTACTCTGCTGCATCCCAACGCGCTCAGACCTGAGCGGGGCTGGGATCTTCCCCACTCCTTACAGCGGAGGGAGCTGAGCGCTGAGCCCGCAGAGCTCGGAGGAGCACTTCGGAGCTGCGCTAAAGGGACGTGACAAAGTGGCACTGGGCTCGCGGGGATGGCAGTGACCGTTTGCCTTTAGTTTCGGGACGGGTTCACTCAGTGTAGGAGTTCCCTATACGGGGATCTGCCCTTGCGCGGCCGTACGCGCAGAGATCCGCGCACGCGTGCGGTTCTTCTCTCGGAGCGGTGCAGGTCCCGCACGCTTGGGAAAGCGCAGGCACAGGCGCGGGGCTTCGGTGTGCTTTCTGCTTCTCGTTATGACACTTCTTAGGTCCTCCCGCCCCTTTATCTTGGAGCCCCGTTCCCTTAACGCTGTTCACGCAGAGCTGTGGCGTTACGGAGGTCAGAAATTGCCCCGAATACGGCGGGGTTTGGTGTGCGGGTCCGGCTGCGTTCCGGTTCTGAGCACGGCAAAGAACAAAAGTTCTGCACAGAGCCGCGTTCTGCATCTGCGTATTTTCATTCCCTGCGACAGCAGAATGAATCTGAACTGGGAAAGTTCACCTCCTTTTTTCCTTTTTCACCCCCATTTCCCCTCTTTTTTTTTTTTTCTTCCTCCTTTTCCTCCTTTTCCTTTTTTTTTTTTTTTCTCCCTTTCCCCCCGTTTTTTTTTTTTTCTCCACTTTTATTTATTTGTTTACTCATTTTTTCACCAGACATCCCGAGACAACTACAAGTCTGCTTTGAAAATTGCAGCAAGCCTTTTAGCAGTGGGGACCGCCGGCTGTATCCGTGTGACAAACGGCCCTGCTACCACACACACACACACTGGGAAGTCCCGTCCACACCGCGCGCTGCATTTCTCCCCTTTCACTGCCGGGAAGATCAGCGGGGCCGAGTTCCCGTCTTGATGCTGTCCCACAGCGCTGCGGTTGCAGGGAGCTGCCAGGCCCCGCTCACCGCTCCTACACATCCACAGGCACCTACGTGTCTACGACTGTGTACATGCACACGGGGAGCAGCGGTTCTGCTGGTTTGTCAAAGAGAAAACGGGCCACGGGCAGTAGGAACAAAACCCAGCACGATTCGCGATGGGAGTTCCCAATATTTACTCTTCTCCCCACGTCTCTCCCGCTGTCACCGTGGCTTTTTGGGGGTTGCCCCACACAGCCCGGCCGGGCCCTGAGCGAACCCCGCAGTTCCTCCCGTGAACTTTCCCCATGCAGATTCGCGGGCCGCTCTCTCCTGTCCTCTTGGCGGCTGCGAGGAGGAAATCTGGCAGGGGCTCCTTCCCAGCAGTCCCCGATCTGCTCCAAACGCACTCTTGGAGGCAGCCTCTCTCGGAGGGAGGGGTGCGCTACATTCGCAGTCAAATTACATGGCTGGCCTCAGAGGCACTGGCTTCGGATTTCCAAAGAAATACTCATCTTTGAGAAGCCGAGCCAAGAAGAAAATACGAGGAAGGCCTCGGATGCGGGAGAACTCGGGGTAAGGAGGTTGTTTATGGCTGAGCTGTGGCAGCTGAGGGGCGGCAGGGAGGGAAGTTTCAGCCCCCACGTAACTTTCTATTCCAGGTTGCATTCGGCTGTCTCGGCTCCCTCCTGTCCCGGGGATCTGTGTCCCCAAAGGGAAGGAGAAGTCGTGCTGGAGGGGGGCTGCGGGAGCTGGTGCCTGAAATGCACCGTTCTATTCTGTTTCGGGCATCCTAAATGTGGGGCAGAGCGATTTAGAAGGATTCTGGGCCTCTCAACTCAGTCGAGCCGGGTACAAAGGAACAGGGCTATGGACTATGGGGATGCCCGGTGGGCTCGGCCAAGCAGGTGGATTTTCCCCGAGTGGGTCTCGCTGCCATCCCCAACCCTGCAAGCAGCCCTGCCTGGAAGGGGACAGCAAAGGAACGGAGCGGGTGTGACCCAACCACACCGCGGTATCACTCGGGAGCAGCTCTCGGGTGCTGCGCGCTGCTCGCTTCCAGGTCTCCCCCTCGGGGGAACCCGCTCCCGGTCGGCCCTACCTGGATTACCCGGTCCCGGAGCATCTGCGGGGCGGCAGCGCCCTCTGCCGCCGGCAGCGACCTCCCGCGGGGAGCGACGACGACCCGGAGCGCGCAGATTTGCGCAGATTTGCGCACCCCGGGCCGTCTCCGCTCCCCGCGGAAGGTCGTTGTCGGACACAGCGAGGCAAGAAACCTTTCGCCTTCGAAAGACCTAATCACCCCCTGCGCATTTCTTTTAAAACTTCATTCAAAATCGCGGCAGGAGGACGGCAGTGTTTTGAAAATCCCTCGCTATTTTTTTTTTCTTCTTTTTTTTCCCTCACCCGACGGCTGCATCATTCCTGTGCCGGAACTGGGAGCATCCCATGGAACGTTTATTTTGGGTGTGTGTGAGCGGCTTGCAAGGAGAAGTGTTGCACCTGATGCTTATTCCTTTTGGTGAATCCCAAACCGAAATTCACCTTGCAGCCCTTCTCTGCACCTGAGTGGTACATGGGCAGCTCCGCGCCCACCTTTCTCTCCTCGCTGCCCCCTCCAAACCCTGTCTCCAACTCGCGTTTCCCATCAGGGCTGCCCCACAGTGAACGGTGTGGCTCCGAAGTGGGGATTTGGTCAGGAAAGTGCCTTTTCGTGCCGGTTCCCAAATGGAATCCCTTCTGACAGCAGCGTTTGGGCCCCTGAAGCCGGCTGAGCTCCTATCCGAGGAGTGGCCGTAGCTGTAAACTTCCCTCAACTTTCCTCCGGAGTGAGTTTACTGCTGTTGAAACGAGAGGGAAGAAAAAAGGAAAATCAATCAAACAAAAATAATCATTGGAAAGCTTTCTTTCTATAGAAAACAAACAAACAAACAAACAAACAAACAAACAAACCAGAAAATTACACCGATATTTTCAAGTAAGTCATTTCAGCACTAAGTCATTTCGTTTCTGTTACTACCGGAGCGCTTTTGGTTTCTCACACAGAGCTTTCGTTTTCTTCGTGACCCCCGTGTAACGCGTTTCCGACGCTCCCGATCCCGAGGACGTTCGCGTTCCATTTCACGACGGCTTTTGCCGGGTATCGGTGAGGGTCGGCGTCACTTTCTGCGGGACGGAGGAGGACTTTTGCGCACCGCGGTGCCATGCGCTGAACTGCCGCGCAGCCGCGGGATCTCCTCCCGGCCCTACTGAGGGAAACCCGGGAAGCCCCAGAGTTGTCGAGTGGCTTCTGCAGCCCACCGGGCAGCTGCGGACCCTAGTGTTGGATCGAGTCCGGAGCAAAGGGAGCTCTGACGCTTCTCTTCTTTTCGCAGTGAGCGCTTCGTTTTTGCGTTCGCTTCACCCATCGTTTGGCGAAGTTAGGGCTTGCGAAGCGCAGATGGCATTTTGGGGGATTCACCGCCCGACCAAAACTGACCTCTACATTCCCCCGAGGCTTCCATCCCCACATGGGGCAGAAGGAGGCTGCAGGGAAGAACAGCGAAATAACTCAAATATTTCTCCAAGCTCCTAAAGTATAGCGACTCAGTGTTAGCACATTTAAGTGTCATTCACTTATACTCATCAGAACGTATTTCATTTTAAATCTTGCATTTTTCTCGAGGACTCCACGCACGTAATTGCTGGCAGTGGCATCTCGGGATGGACGCATAATGTCCGCTTAGTCGCACAGAGCCCGGCCAGATCTCTCCCCGCTGATGCGCGCTCCCCAGCGCCCAAACACGCACGGATGTGCGCTGTGGAAGCCACACGGCGTGTAAAAAAACACAGCTCCTACAGCAAAAACAGCGCTTTCCGTGGATTTTTTCAGGCACCCGAGCCCCGGGATGACATTTTCTACCTGCATGATATATGTGCAAAGCACACACGGGGAATTTTCCTTACATTGCGTGTGTGCTTCCTTCAGATTTCTGCGCATTTTACATCGCATTGGATGCTTCCATCCACCAACTGCATTCACCCCTGGGCTTGTTCTGAATTAAAGCTTCTTTTATAGTCTGTATACTTTTTATGATTTCCTGGAAGGAGGGGGAAAAAATGAAGGGAAACCGTGTTTAGGAGTTTCTGAAAACTTCCCCTCGGCGCAGCGCTGAAGTTGGGGATCCTCGGGCCAGAGGTGCTGGCTCTGCCCTGAGCGTTCCCTGCGGGGGACTGTAGCTCGCTCGGGCCGGGCCGCCTCTTTTCGTCGCAGGAACAAAGGGAAAGGTCGGGCCTCTGTCGGGAGCCGCAGCAGAAGCGCAGCGCTGTGCTGCAAGGGGACCCCGGCTGCTCTACTTGGGCAGAGCCCTCAGCAAACAGCCGGCCATAGACACACGGCGATATTTGTTGACACGGGGTTGAGGTCCCAGGGCACCTGGTTGCGAGTCTCAAACAACCCCCACACTCCACTCCCCCCGGCCACGGCATCACCGCAGCGGGGCTTCCCGGGTGCGGAGCCCGTGGATCGGAGCCTTCGGGGCTGCGGCGGCTGCATTGGGCGGGAGGAGCAGCGCTCGGGAATCGAAAGTGACCCTTCTCCCGAGTGCTGCGGGCTCTGAGTTGTTTGACGCCGGGATCCAACGAAAGTCTGAAGTCGAGGGGTAATTTTCTCCATATGGGCAAACGACAGAGTGTATAGCGGCTCACTCCAGAAAGTGTCTACCTGATTGTTTTTTCACTTTCTACAGACCGCTGAGGAAAAAGAAAATAAATGAAAGGAAAGGGCAAAAAAGAAAAGAAAAAAAAAAAAAAAGGAAAAAAAAAAGGAAAAAGGAAAAAGAAAAGAAAATGGGAAAAACGGAAAGAAAAAAAAAAAAGAAAGAAAGAAAGAAGGAAAGAAAGAAAGAGAGAGAGAGATCATATGGTAATGAGAGCCCTTGTTTGCCCACAGGTCAGGAAGGCGGCGGAGCTCTGGGCTGGGGCTGGCCGCGCTCCGGGAGCCTCGGGCCGGGCTCCGCGGGGGATCGCTCCCTGCAGACAAAGGGGCAGGAAAGGAGCGGCGAGAGACCGCGAGGAGCTCCGCACACCAGCGGTGCCGCAGCGGAGCGACTCTGCCTCCAACGTGCCTTGCCGTTCCCCGGAGCCGAGCATCGGGCAGAGCTACCCGAGCTCCACGAGATTGGGGAGAGGAGGGAGGGTCGGGGCAGGCGGCGGTGCAGCGATGCGTCCGGGTCTCCCTCTCGGCCTTTCTCCCTACAGCGCTCCGAGCTCCGCACGGCCGGGCCGCCCCGGTCCTTGCAAGAGCGGGGATGGAAGGAAAGAAGCTAGAGGAGACAGGAGGGTTTGGGAAGAGGCTGTGACATCGCAGAGAGACGCGAAATTTGTGGCCCCCGAGGGGCACTCGATATGATTGGATTTGATTTTTAGTTTGAGACAACAGTTAGTTCGCTTCTTCCAGCTCACGGAAAGCGCATCAACAGGCGACGATGGTCTGGAGATGCAGGCGTCGTTCCTCGTCCGTATCACGGCTGCATCGCCCCAAATCAGGGTTGCTCATTGCAAACGTGAGAACCCGATGCGTTCGTTTATTTATTTGTTTGCTTGCGCCTTTCCCCTACTCGGTCGCCCGCTCCCGGCGATGGCCGCAGCGACGCTGAGTTACGGACACACTACAGGTGTTAACGCGGTGCTCGGGAATTCATTCCCCTTCCTTCTTCCCCCTCCTCCTCGCCGGGGTTATTTCCGAGCCTTCCCAGATAGCTGGGAAAGGGTCCCACATCCCCCGGAGCTGTAAATTGAGCGCTGAAATACTTGATCTCACTGATTCTTTGGAGAGTTCAAGCTGGCCTCATTTTACAGGAGGAAGCGAAGTCAATCTCGGAGGTTTTGCGAAGAAAGGCTGTTATTTCCTAGAGGATCGGCGTTTAAGTTGTTAAATATTAGTTTTTAATTACATATTGTTCTTTTTAGAAATAATATTTAGACTTAGGTCCGGGCAGGTATTCAATTGAATTTTAGAGCCATCAACTCATCATTCCTTACACAACGGATGGAAAATAGCCCATTGAGCCGGCCCCCGGCTGTCTTTCTGCGGCAGACGGCTCTTGAGCTGTCCCCGCCGCACTTCATGCCCGGTCCCATCGCCGTCGGGCACAGCGGGCCGACAATCCGCTCGCTGCGCGGGCGCGCAAAGGGCGCTCAACGGGCGCGCAGCGGGCAGGGACCCCAGCGCTAAGCCCTGCTGCAAGCTCGCTGCTAAGGGCACGAGGGAGACGGAGAGGTTCTTTCTGACGAAGCCATAGGAAGACGGAACGAGAACATGGACAGTAATGAAGGAAGCGCTGGTGCTGCGCGAAGCCGCCAGCCCCGCAGAGATTTTCCTGCTGCCCCACGAGGTTTCTCAGGCCACGTCCGTGTCGCGGAGACCTGGTTGGGCTTCGTGGGCGCCCGCATCTCGGAGCTTTGCGGGGCTGAGGTATACGTGCCCGGGCCGGGATCCCAGGAGATCCCATCGCTCCTCTGCAGAGCCCCTCTCTGCAGCACCTTCAGCTCTACCCCCTACACCGCCAAAACTTTCTTGTCGGGCCGTTCTCATCTGTAACCACTTCCACACGGAGGCTTTCCCCCATACTCTTTCTCCTCATCTGAGGTGGCCATTTTACAAAACTGTGCAGCCCTGCTGCTAGCTCCCACCGTTCTCTGGCCCCTTCTCCCTCTTTATCCTTGCTTTTTCCCTGGCCTCAGCCCCCCCAGCTTCGGGCTGTTCCTGTGGGGCAAGGGCACTAGTGGGATGGGCACAGGGGCTCTGGGAGCCGAAACCCAAGTTTGTGAGTTTGGAGGGGCTGAGAGCCTTGCTCTGGAGTGTCAGTACTTCTGCTCTCCATACTCTGGCAGAGTGGACTAAAATGAACATGTGCGACTCAGCATCTGCTCAGCTAGATGCATCACACGGAGGAATATTGGCTTTTTCACCTCCAGGTCCTAAATGGGAAATAAAGGGAAGTTGATGTCCTCTATTCTGTTTGCAATTGCCTATCCTAGGATTAAAGAGCTCTCCATGTTACTGGCTGTCTTTCATTTAACTGTTTGGAGACCAGAGATGGAAAATATTTGCAGAGAAGAAAAGAATAGCTGCATGGGATCATTTGCAATTCAGTGTGAAAATATTCTAACAAACCCATTTCTCTCCCAGTGCTGCTGAAAAAAATAGCACATAGCCGTCAACAGCCCATTGCGCTCTGCTGGACAGCACGGAAAGTTTTAGGCAACAAAATTCCTAATAGGAGACAGCAGCAAACAGCACAATCATGTCTTTGACTAAACTGTGTGGCAGCTTTAATTGCGAAAAATGTTCGTAATGGCTCAAATATTACAATTTTGGTAAATGGGAGACTTCCCGCGAGCTGCAAGCTGTGCAGCTTGGGACAGGGCTGGCACATGTGGAGGAATGGGGCTGGAAGCAGTGGGTAGGGTGTGCCAGAGGGATGCACAGCCAGAAACAACCAAATCTGCACTGACGGAGCACTAAGAACTGAGTGCTGTAGCTCAGGTCCCCTGGCTCCCAGCTCCCAGCCATGCTGCACAGAGCTCTGGGTTCCGTGGATGGGCAATGTCTGCTCGTGGCTCACTCAGCTCTGAGCACTGGGGCTGGCCAGCAGAACCCTGGAGGATGAAGAGCTTGGCTTTTCTTGCTTGCATTGCACATCCCAGAGTATCCAAGAAAGCAATAAGAGGATTATTCATTTCAAGCTGTGGGCACTCCCAGCACCCAGAGGGATGTCAGCGGATCCCAGCACTGCACCACTCGCAGCGTTCGTGCAGGCCAACGGAGCTCTCCTGCTCTGCCATCTGTTGGAGAAGTTCTAGGTTATATGTTATTTATTTGCCCCGCAATAACGCTCTGCAGACCTCACCCAGGGTCAAGACACATCAGTGCTAGGCTGCTTTATGTATAGAGCCAGATGACAACCTCCGGCCCAGGGGTCTAAGGAGGAGGACAAAGTCAGTGACTACATCTCAGAATAACTCAAGTTGGAAGAGACCCAAAAAGTATCATCGAGTCCTTGATGTATCTTGAATAAAATGAGAAGAGAAAGGGACAAAACTACAGTGGGCAATGGTGGAGCTGAGCACCAAAAGACATTGCTTACTCCTGTGTGCTCATCATGAGCCTTCTGCTGTGGTTGAAGTTGGTGGCAAAATGTCTCCTGTTATTTCGCTATCACATTTAGCTCTCAAATTAGATTCCACATCTTGTTTTTCTACAATCTTCCACAGGTGTACCACCATGCAGTTCTGCAAACCATTTGGTACCAAGGCAGAACCATTGAGAATGGCATTAAGCCAATCTCAGGACAAACTGTAGGGGCAGAAACTGCAGTGACAGTGAAGAAGCCTTGTGTGGGGGGTTTGGAAGTTACACCATAACATTCTGTTACCACATCACTCTGAACATCATATTTATTCATATATCTTACAAAAAAATATATTTTCTTTTTTAGAGCAATTAAATTGTTAAAAAATAATCAAAAATGGCCATGTGAGCTTTGAGGAGGGAGATGAGCATCAAATTTCCTTTCCAAATATGAAAGCACCTGGGTCTGTGATGAAAACGAAGGAATAAAACTGAGGCCTCAGAGTGGGTCGGTCAAACTAGGTTGATTCTTCTTGGTGTTTTTCTTGATTTTTTCAGCTTTTTCATGAAACACTGACTCTGATCTGTTATTCTTAATCTTAGGCAATAGGTAAGGAACACCTAGCCAGCTCCACTCAGAGCTTTCTCCTTCACCTTAACCCCAACCTGTCATAGCCACACGAAGTCTCGTGCCATACTAGGATGGATGGAAGAGGCAAAGCAGAACCCACCCCCCCAGGTGCAGACAGCTGTCCTTTGCAGCCGTGTCAGGCTGTGACCACATCTCCAGGATGAGCCCCACCACCAGCCCCAAGCACACTCCGTGCTGTCAGACATGTTCCGGACAAGATGCAGAACGCCATTGTTCCGGGCAAGCTATTTCCTTAGGGCTGTCTCTTGGGCAGCTTGCCTGAACCATAAATATGTTCTGCAGTTGAGATCAGAAACAT